CACAGTGATCATTCTGCACCACCAGCCCCACCTGGGAGACACACAGGGGCCATTCTGCACCAGCAGCCCCACCTGGGAGACACACAGGGATCATTCTGCACCACCAGCCCCACGTGGGAGACACACAGGGATCATTCTGCACCACCAGCCCCACGTGGGAGACACACAGGGATCATTCTGCACCACCAGCCCCACATGGGAGACACACAGTGGTCATTCTGCACCAGTGGCCCCCACTGTAGGTGCAGATCAGGGGGAGGAGAGAGAAACAGCTGAACCAATTGAAATGCTCCAGCTTTTCTGAACTGTGGGAAGGTCAGATTGAGTTATTGAATTAGTTATATATATAAATTGGTAATGTGAAGAGGGACTATGCCAATACCTCCTCCAATTCCTCGTCCGCTATGAATTCATGTGTATGTCCTCACAGCGCCGTGTCCCCATCTAGTGGTGGAAGTGCGCCATTACCTACACGATATTAATATACTTTTCAGCCCGTCCGAAAAAAAGGGTGTAAAAAACACTACTTGTGAATATCAGGAACTCAGAATGAATTCGCTTGTCCTGTCACCAGAGAAGGTGTGTGGCCTCTTGACTATCTGAAGAAGTTAAACTGTTGACACACGTGTATGTGTGAGGTACGTGTGTGGGAGGGAAACCGAAATCAATCTTTTGCAACGTCTGCAACACGGCGCTTCGCCTCTGCCCCCCCCTCCCCCGCTCGTCGCTCGACCTTAGCCCCAGAGAGGTAAGGACATTGTGATCCGTCTCATCCTACACTCGGAGGTGGTGCTGAAAAGTGAATCTCAGACTCCGGTCATGAGCTACGAGTCGTGATTGTGGCTCCTGGCTGATAGCCAGCAGGTCTGGGGATGCAGACGGCCATTAGACATGTGAGTCGCACCACCCAGTCTTCACACCGTCACACTTCAGACCATTTTAAAACAGCTTCTGCCCCGTCCCCGACCATACCGCCCGGGACAACATCAGCAACACGATACAGGACGTGGTTGATCCGCATTGCGCATGTGTGCTTCCTTGGGGTATAAGAACTGCGCTCTCGGGCTTTGCGAAGACTTGATTTCCGTGCGTTGGTGCGCTGTGCTGTCGTCTTAAGGTATGTATAAGGTCTGTTTTGGTTACCTTACCTGGTACTGACGTCTACAGCGACATCTTTTTTTCTGGAAACAAGATAACATTAGCCAACCTAAGGTCGCACTTTAACGACCTACATTAATGACTTAATCTTCTATCTAGGAGGTGGTCGCAGGGTGTGTATTAACCATGTCTGGACAGAGGTAAAAATGTGTGTCAGGGCGTCGCGCCTTATCTCTCTCCCTGTATTTATTACTTAATTGTACTTATTGCCTCAATTCCTCTTGTGGAGGCTGTACCCCGACCTGCCAGAACCGGGACAGAGTCCGGCTCCTCCTTCGCAAATGGCACTGACGCTCTCCGGGAAAGCGGCGCTCGTCACCGGCGCGGCTCAGGGGCTGGGCAGGGGCTTCGCCGAGATCCTGCTCCAGCACGGGGCGAAGGTAAGGTCGTGGGCTCATGTCTGCAAATCACGGGGAAAAAAAGAGAGAAACCGCTCGAAACAAAATGTCTGAAAAGTTTTCAAAAATAGTCGAACGGCCAGGAAACCTGCGGCCGCCCTCGGTCTGTCATTTGCGCTCAGAACAAGACAGCTGGGATTTGTTTAAAACTAGCTGTAAACTACACCGCGTGTAGCACTTGGATAGAAGTACAGTTAATTAACCACATCCCCCTTGTAATATAGCAGATCTGTGCGCGATAAGTACGTGTACCATCTGATCCGGTAATTATGATGGTGATGTTATTAAACGTCCGGCAGCTAAGGACTTCGGATCATGTCCGCGCAACATAGCCTAAAGCTGAAAAAACAATCCAGATGTTTCAGTCTCAGTCCACTTATATTTTACAGCCTCGTGGGTTTTCGTCTTTTTACATCTTTTAAAAACCGGCGAGACCGACAGTAGGACTTCCTCTTCCAACAGGGCTGTATCCACAGAGTTCAGATTCCGAGTCGGACAACAACAATCTGTTCACTGACAAAAAAAAAGTGACACCTCGTTTCACATTCAAGTGGGTTTATCTTTTTTTTTTCTCGCGTGGGACCTCGGGACCGCGACTGTGGCGCTTAAACCCGTGACTGTCCGTGTTGTTTTGTCAGCTGTACATACTGTCACTGTTTATGTACTGTTTCGTCTTCGTCATGTACTGTCCACACTGTGGGGTCTTGTTTGTCACACTGTGTCGCCTGCTGTACTGTGCCTGTCCTGAGAGATCGGTGTGGATAAGATGTACATGTACTGTACATATAGCAATAAACACCTCTACCTACCCTGTACCCACCCTGTTCCTACCCTGTACCCACCCGCTAATGTGCAGCCCCACCTGGGCGACTCCCAACAGCCCAGGAAGTTTCATGAAAAACTGTTGCACCTGTTGAATTACAGGAAACTTTACAAATGAACTTTAGAGAGGCCATCCATTGTTCATGCCCAGAGTGGAATTTAGCCAGGACACTGGGGTTAACTTTTCTTATCTATTTCAGCAACGTAAAACCCAAATAGTTATGCATTCTCTCGTACATAAAGAAATCATTTTCTGAAAAAAAACAACAACAAGTGCGTGCTCCAGGCGAACAAGTCCAAGGGAATCCTAAGGGACACCCAGGGCGAAGTCCAAGAGTCCAGAGCTGGGTGATCCCTCCAGGACAAAAACAAGACCAGGCCGGAGCGGGATCCGGTGCAGGGGCAGGGAATAAAAACAGTAACGAGGCCAGGCGCTCCGAGCCCCGGACTCAGACGGTCAGGACGCCGTGAGGAAGCCTATGCCGCCAGGTCTCTCCTGGACCCGTTGGTTCCAGGTGTTCATCTCCCAGTACTGAGCGAGGGGTAGCGAGAGCACCAGGCTTGAATAAGGAGACGCAAAACAGGGAGCAGGTGCACATAATAAGCTAAAATACAAAAGGGTCGGAGCGCCCTTTAAGAGGAGGGATCCCGATCGTGACAATAAGACCACTTTACTTTAAAATATTCTCGTGGAATCTACGATTTACCCAACGGTCTAATCACATCTACTAATACCTGTCTGTTTTAGGTGGCTCTCCTGGATGTAAATGAGACAGCAGGAAGTGAACTGAAGGCAAGGTTTGATGAGCAGTATGGAGCCGACAGCACACTCTTCCTGCCCTGCGATGTGTCTTCAGAAGAGCAGCTGACAGGTGCGCTGCTCTCCTTAGATTCACCAGGCCTGCCTGCTTCCCGCGTGCGCTGAGAGATGAGCTGGATACAAATACGGACGGATATGACTCAACAGAGTCAATGTCTTGAAAGGGCTGCTGTTGGAGAGCTCAAAGTTAAACAGTTTGCCGAAATCTCTGAATTGCACTGCATGAACTGGGTGTCTGAGCAATGCACCCGGTGGACTGGATCGCCTTCAAAACCAAACGCGGCTGAGCCTGTACAAAAGCCACACATCAGAATTCCCATTTCTTTAGATAAATTCCGTTTAATTCAGTTTAATTTCATTCCTAGGTTCTGCTGAGTCAAAAGGTTGGTGTTATGATGGAAGGGGAGATATGTTGTGTGGGGCGGAGGATTCGGTGCTCCTCTTGTGGTAGTTTTGCTCGAGATAGTGAAGAATAAGCAGGTAACATTATGTACACCTCACCACATCTGAAGGAGTTATGTATTATACTATACTCAAGGTAACACTAGAGCGTAGAGTATCTCCACTCAGGATTAACGTGTTCTGTGGGCTTATAGTTGTGTTCTTGTTTCGGAATTACACACTATATTTTGTTTTGCTAGCTTACTTTGTCATTTTAGCTGAGTTATTGTGATTCCTTGTGGTTCCCAGATAAGGAATGTGGTGGGACAAGTAGGAACGTGAAGTACAGAACTGGGCAGCTGTTTCAGCAATAACAGATCATTCTTCTGATCACAGACGCATTCGCCAAAACCTTCGAGAGATTCGGGCGGCTGGATATTGTCTGCAACAACGCAGGGATAGGCAACGAGAACGACTGGGAGAAGACCGTTGCGATAAACCTGGTGAGATTCGAGGCTGCAGCATTGAGCCAGTGTGTGTGTGTGTGGGTGTGAAGAGGGCAGGAGGGAAATTCTGGAAAGGAAGAGATTTGTAGGCAGATAAGATGTTTAACCCCAGAAATCCTCTCTGAGACATCGAGTGCTGGGTGCCGTCATCTCGTCAGCTGCTCCTTGAGCTTCCGCTTGATTGATCTCCCCTGGGGCTCCCAGCACCCCGCCCCGGTGGGGCTCCCAGCACCCCGCCCCGGTGGGGCTCCCTCTCCTCCTGCTGGCAGAGTGCTGGCGCGGCGAGGGTGTTAGTCGGAAACGGAAGCGCGCGTGGTGTCGTCAAGAGCTCTGACTGACGCCGCTGGCCTTCGCTATGTTGTCAGAACGCGGTGATCCGGGGCACCTACCTCGCCCTGCAGTACATGAGGAAGGAGAACAGAGGTCACGGAGGGGTCATCGTCAACGTGGCGTCGATGGCAGGTACGACATTTTCCACAGCACGTCTCCTCGTGCGAGCACGGCTCTCCTCGCTGCCGTTTTTTTGACACGTTTGCTCGTTGTTCTGAAAAAAAAACCGTGGCGAGTTTATGAGGAAGCCAGGTCTGATGCACAGAGGCGGCCAGAGGAGCCAGGCCACAGTACGCCAGAGGAGCGTGTGGCCTGCTCCTCCTGTGCCTGCTCGCTGAGCCCCTGCCGGGCCTGAAGCATGGGCTGATGGCTCCGATCAGATACATCCACAGCTAGTGCAGGGACTTCATTAAGAGCTCACGTGGATCAGAATGCGTCCTCTGCGGCTCACCGGGAGCAAGCGCGAGGGAATGTTCCGGTGAGCGGATTCGCCCGGGCCGTCCTCAGGAAACGTCACTGAGTGTCACTCTCCCTTTGCCCTTAGGTCTGGGGCCCATGCTCACGAATCCTGTGTACACCGGCACCAAGCACGGCGTGGTGGGCTTCAGCAGGGCCTTGGCGGTATGTGTCTGCCGTGCTGCTCCGCGCCGGTCAGTGCTCCCTTCTGGTCAGACCCGGAAGGGTGTTCAAGCCAGTCCCTCGCCAGCCCCAACAGACAGAGAAACAAGGGATAGGTTTATGCCATGCTGAAAAGAGAAGGAAGAAAACGCAACGTGTCGGCGATTTGCAGCCTACGCATGCTGACGCAGCTCCCCACCTGAACCACTAAGAGACAGAGATACCTGCGAGTGAACCAGGAGACCAGGGAGACGGGGCTTGAAGCTGTGATAGAAGCACTCTGTGTGCAGGGGTATGCGGTGGTGGTCTGCTCTCTCTCTCTTCTTATTTCTCTTGCTTGCAGGATGTCTTACAGCAGGTGTCTAATGGGGGGAGTGCACACTGAATAGCATTGGGTCTCTGTCCTGCGATGGACTGGCGTCCCATCTGGGTCTGGACTGACTCTGGGTCTGGAGGAGTTTCACTCTGGAGTGTGACGCAGTGGTCAGTAACAGCGTGGGTCTCTCTGTCTTGCAGGATGCGTCCCAGGTCTGTAACTATGGAGTGAGAATCAACATCCTTTGCCCGGGTTTCGTAAACACAGACCTACTTCAGTCTCTGACCCCAAACGTTCATCTGGAAGATTCAGACAAGTTGAAGGAGGAATATAAAAACCTCATTGGAGTGCTTGGAATGATGGAGTAAGTTTTTCTTCTGTGCAGTGTATTTAATCAAATAACACTTTTACTGTCCCTCACAGAGGGTAGGGAAGCTCGTGAAGATATGGTTGCCAGCACTTTAAAAAAAAATTGTGTGCCCTCATAATTTAGAATCTGGGCAGCATGACTGCGCAGTGGTTAACATTGGCGCTGTGCTGGGCCGGGTCCTGGGTTCAGTTCCTGGGGTGCTGCCTGCGTGGAGTTTGCACGTTCTCCTCGTGTTCACGTGGGTTTCCCCTGTTTGCTTCTGTTTCCTCCCACAGCCTAGAGACGTGATGGTGGGTTAATTGTCTTCTTGGAAGCCTGGCTCTGGTGTGTCTGTGTGTCTGTGTGTCTGTGTGTCTGTGTGTCTGTGTGTCTGCCCTGCGATGGGCTGGCGGCCTGTCCAGGGTCCTGGTACTCTGGGATTGGATCTGGCCGCCCCGCGACCCTGAACTGGATGAAGCTGCTAGATGAGTAATTTGAACCACGAGTGAGTTCTAGTCTCAGCAAGCAGCCCTGCAGCCCCACACGGGAGAATGCGGAAGTGTGCGCCCATCCCTCTGCCACGCCCCCCTGTCTTTTCACACGCCGTCAGCGCTGACTGGAGGACAGGCGCACTGCTCGCTGACAGCCGGCAGCCCTGCAGGCACCGGGGAAGGAGCAGGGGTTCCAGTTTCCCCAGGAGCTGAGAGGGCCGTAGCCGACTAACCCCACCCTATTAATGGAGGCTCTCAGACTCCCGTGCATTGCACGTTGGCCAATTCTGGGGACTGGACACCGGACACTATTGTTGCTTTTTGCTGCTGTTTGATGCATCTTAACCAGATGTGACGTGTGGGATAAATGACTCAATGGAAAATAGGGAACTCCTGGCTCAGATCTCCCCACCCCCGCACCTGTGGCCACAGGGACTGAACAGGGCTGCATTGCCAGGGCTAGGCCTCTAGGGACTAGATCAGACCTTCCCCACCCAGGAGCCATGCAGTCCAGATGTCCTTTCACCTGATGGGGGCTGCTTTGAGCCCGGGCTTCTTGCTCCTGTCCGACGAGAACATTGTTGCAAACTAGAGGAAGCCGTTCAGCCCACTTAACTCACTGAGCTGCTAAGAGCTCGCTGACTGGAGGATCCCACCCACCCGTTTCTGGAAAGAGCAGCTCAGCCCCAGCTGACGGGCGAGCCGAGGCCGAGCGGGGCCTGCGCTTCTGAGACTGACAGGGTCTCAGTGACACAGATGCCCTCTCTGCCGCTGTTTCACCTGCTTCCCTGCCTCGTGCGCTGTCCCCCCACCCTGTGTGTCTGGTTCCGTGTTTGTTTGACTTGAGGTGTAAGTGAAAGACGTTGGATGTTGGATGATGTTGCTTCAGGCAGCGCAGCACTGCGGCGTGTCCTGAGGGATGGTCTGCAGGCTGTTCTTCCTCTGCCGCAGGGTGCAGGAGGTGGCCGCGGGCTTCCTGGAGCTCGTGAGGGACGAGAGCCGGAACGGGGCCGTGCTGAAGGTCAATAAGAGAAGCGGAACCTCCTTCCACACGTTCTCCTAGAAGTCCGGAGGCGACGCGCCGCGGTCCCCCCCCCCCGGCGAAGACGTGGAGGTCCGTCGTCTGCGCGGAACTGAAGACGCGATTCTGTCATGCAGCGAGGGCTGACGCAGTCAGGCGGCCTGGTGTGAGGTCTGCAGGGTCGAGTGATGAGGTTCGGAGCCCCGAGAAGTCTGTGGCCTCTCACACGTTGAGAACAGTCCAATCCACCCATTCATTTTCTAAACGCTTCCTCCCGTTCGGGAGCCACAGGCACAAGGGCAAACAGACACAGACACGCACACACTCACACCAGGACCAGGTTCTCCAAAAGCCAGTTAACTGACCAGTATGTCTCCTGGGCAGTGCCGTGGTTCTGTGGCTCAGGACCTGCGCCTGTGGCTGGAAGGTTGCTGGTTCAAATCCTGTGGCTGGCAGAGGAATCCTACTCCGTTGGGCCCCTGAGCAAGGCCCTTCACCCCAACTGCTCCAGGGGTGCCGTATAAATGGCAGACCCTGTGCTCTGACCCCCAGCTTCTCTCCCAGTCTGTGCCTCTCATGGAGAGCAAGCTGGGGTATGTGAGAAGCCAAATTCCTAATGCAAGAAATTGAATATGGCCAATAAAGAGATCTTATTTTACAAGCAGAACATATAAACTCCACCCAGACAGCACCTTAGGTCTGGAATTGAACCCAGGGCCACACCTGCCTTTTCTGCTCGGGTTGCTTATCGCATTTCATTGTTCCACAACAAGCAGCTTTCATTCCAGTTTTAATGGGCCACCTAACTGTCGAAGTGCCTCATACACGACAGGATCACGACGTCAGTTCTGTTGAGATGTTAAGTTCAAAGTGTTTTTTTTACATTTGTTAATAAATTCAGATATGTTTAAATTGAATTTTTTTTCAGTATGTCTGCAGACGTTCAATCGTGACTTGAGATGTAAAACCTGTAACCGTCTAACAAATTGCCAAGATAGATCTTATATAAGAAATAAGGAAATTGTGGGAAAGGTTGGTAACATGCTTAATATTTATAGATTCAGTATTTAGGAAAGTCATTAATTGACAAAATTAATCAAGAGACATTTAATCATTTACATGCTTGAAACCCATTTACATTTAGAATAAATATTTTCCCGCTGACAAATTAATGTGTACACATACTTGTTCAGTCTATAGCTCTAACGACTGTTTCTGCCTGTTCCTCTGATGTTGTAGTAGAGTTGACCAAAGAAATCCTCATCACAAACCAAAGAGGAGGAAATTCAACCAGTTTGTTAAAGTGTAGGTTATCACGTTTGGATATCATTCAAACATTTACGCTTGTTTTGTTTTGAATTTCCCTTGAACTTGATTCTGTCATAACCTTTTCCATCTTTCTTCAAAACAATTTATCTCTTGTTGCATTAAATTTAAAGTTTATCTTCGTTAAAGCAGAATCCAGTAACACAACCTGAGTCACTGATAATACCAGACAATAGAAACATATTAGTGAGCCATCAAGACCTTTTGTAATATATTTCTACTAGAGCTTCATAATTGCTAAGAACTTTCAAACTTGATATTCTTTAGCAAACATCTCAGAAGATATTAATTAAGCCATACAAAAAGTCGTGGAGGGCATAATACCCTTGTTCAAGGAGTTGTTCTGTCACACTAATAAGCCTGGACTGCAGTCCCTCCTGTGTCTTATCGGGCATTTTAAAGCTTGTTCATTCTGAACAGGAATTTGCTCACTCTGGGGGGTAATGGCCTCAAGAACACAGACCTTAAAACGTTGATGTAATATGGGAAAATGGTAACTCATTTTCCAGCGGGGAATAGTAGCTTTAAAAGTTATCCTGTTGATCTTTTTGCTTGATTCTTGGGAAGAAGCTGTACTCACCACCAGCCCAGGAATCTGAGTTTAATCTTCTAAACGCAGCGCGATGGGCGTGTGTATGCTTGCTGTGCCTCGCACAGCAGTGTTGGTCTGGTTGTTTCTCCACAGTGGGCATGTGACTTCCTGTTCAGCGCACCCACTCACAATGAAAAGAGAAGCACCGAATGGCTGCTATTGCCCACATTTATTAGTTTCATTTTAGAAACATTTCACTCCGACCCCCTGCTGTATTTATAGATACAGTACATGTGTTATTCAAAGCTAATCAAAATGTCTTCAAACATGCCGGTCATGTGCACACCAGCAGTGTGTGCGAGATCCACAGTTCCTTGTAGATTACCTTTTGGAAAAGGATAACTTTGAGAGACACATTTACTCTAAAGTGTTTTATTTAAAAGTATGCAGTTTTTCCAGACACATGTGAAGGTGTCTTTAAATGTGACCTTTAAATGTCTTTAAATTTCCCCTTAATTCAGGAGAAGTTATGCACTTCTCTCCCAGATCAGCTGTGCAATGGGTCTGCTGGGTACCCACCATTACCACAAGGTGTCACTAAAATGCCAAAAGTTTTGCTGCAGCTCACACAGGAGTCCCAGAAGTACAAATTGGAGTCAGGAGGCTTTCTCTGTGTGCAGAACAACAGTCCAGCCTGGAATGCAGGTTAACCATTAAGCCATCTGCCCATTGGCATCATTCACAGCTTCGAAAAGTCTGACTTGTCGAAGTCAATGTCAGAACCCACTGCAAAAGTCCTCATTCAAAATGCTGTCTTAGCCTCTGAATAAACAAATGTTACAAGAAAGGATCGAAGTGTGCAAAGAAACTTTCACCTGCTTTTGAACTACTGGCAGGAGAGTTCTGCTCAGCGCTAACCAGTGCAAGAGACAGGCAGGAAAGGTCTGGTCATGCCAAAGCAAAAACCCTCCCAGACACGGAGGTGGGCAGACTCGGCTCGCTCACCAGCGGTGAGGAACTGGAATGGTTGTCGTTGCTCTTGGGGGGCTCAGTAACATGTACCAGTATGGCAACAGGAGGCGCTGGGCTGCAGGGGGGAGCCCCTCTTCTGTATACAGGTACCACATTGCCAAGGGCAGGATGGAACAGAGAGCTGCACTGAGATATGTCTTCCCTGTTGAAGATCAAAGTAAATTCATTTAGAGCAGTGGAGCAGTTGTCTAGTACACAGAGAGTGCCACACTGAATAGTGTGAGCTGGGGCGCTAGTTAGTATTTCTTCTGCCGGAACGGAACAAGACATCAGGTTTCCTTGTGCAGGTGCTATGAACGGGCCCAGGATGCACCCGGGACGAGGCACCAGGCCGTCACAGGGCCTATACAGCAATCAAAGCTGGGAAAGACAAAAAACTTGCATGGGCTTTTCTACACCAGGCTGGGGGAGATGTGTACAAGTGACACAAAGATTTTGAAAAGACACCTTCGTGAATCACAAGCTTCTGATGCTAGACCTTGACACTAACATTCTGACCGAGCACTTGGACTGAATACAGTCAGACTGTAGTAGGAACAGCTGTGGTTTGGATCAGAGTAAGTTTGGTCTGTCAGAGATCAGATCTAGAAACGTTAGTTGTCTTTTTTTACCACTATCCAAGCAGTATATTCTGTAGTTGCCCTGTGGTATCAGATATGCAAAATAAACCAAATTTATAAAGCAGACCAAACCATTCAGTGTGGGATTTCAGCGATTAATACATACGTGTTTAATGTTGACTGCTTTGACAAAGAGCTGTCTTGTCCATTTCCTGGACAAGGTGCCCCCCCCCCAAAAAAAAGAAATAATTAAAAAGTAAAAAAAACTATAAGTGCACCATTGTGGCAAATTATACTCCATAAAATTTCTCATTTGTTCTGCAACGTTTTGAACATTTTACTGAGAGATCCACCGACGGCAGTTTTGCCTGGGTTTACACTGTAAATTGCTCTGCGGGTTGTTTTTAATGGGATTATAATGACAGTTATGGTTTACAAGAATTGATGTTTGTGACTTTTATGAGGTGTGAGTGAAGGGGCGGGCCCAGGACAGGTCGTAAAGCCGAGAGGAATGTTAATTGGTCGAAGCTGTGGGCAGTCTGAAGCAGCCCTCTTTGTTCTGCTTGCTCACACAGGGCTTCTGTTGTGCTCCCAAACAGGCTGCCTGATTTAAAATCTGTGATTTTTCCCCCTGCAATTTAATGTTGAGCCTCGAGACTCAGAAAGGTTTGCACTTTTAATTTACTCAGTTTCTTTTAATCGGACTCCTAGCTTCTTGTTGAGTAGTTCCTCGAGCCAGGCAAGCTAAACAACACAAGCTGCAGCGCTGCTGTGAAGCTCGGCCAGCTTTGTGTTCGCTCCTGTGTTTTGAAAAAAGTATTTGACTTCAGAAGGTCTTTTAAAAATATTGTTCCTGCTAGTTTGTGCGGCACGTTCTGCCCAGTTCCTAATAAAGTGAGACAGTGCGCAGTGAGAAAGCTGCCCGAGTTAGTTTTTGTGGCGGCACTTGGATTTTTTTTTCAGGTCCACAAGTGCAAATCTAATTTAAAACCCAAGAACAGGAGGACTTCTTTACCCAAAGGTTTGTGGGAGGCTGGAACAAGCTGCCCAGCCGTGTTGTGGTGAATGACGTCTGCGTGTTTTTAGATGCTCTTATGGTTTCAGATCCACGCTTCACGCAGCAAATGTCTCAGTTTTGCAGACGGGTTATGGAAAATGTTAATATGACACCCACCTTAATTTCTGTGACCTTTCAGGCCTGCTTGTGTTACAGCTCAGACAGGTCAGGAAGGCCATCTCTTCCAGACGCTGTTGTAAATTCAGTTCCTCCTTGTGCATCTGAACAGTTCTGTTTGATCAAGGTAGGACTGCCCTGTCAGGATGTGTCCAGCAAAGAACATCTGACCAAGCTTTGATCCCTCAGAGCTCAGGTGGCAGATGTGGCAAACGATTTTCTTTTCACAGCAAATCGCACTGTTTCTAACTGAGAGTCCCGTGTGTTTCTGTGTTCGTTCACAAGTTAAGGAACAAGGAGGGCCGCCCATCCTCGAACCCTCCAACCCTCGAACCCTGGTACCCTCAAATCCTGAAACTCTTGAACCCTCGAAACCAGAGACCCTTAACCCTTGAACCCACAAACTGTCGAACCCTTTAACCCTCTGACCCTCTGACCCTCTAGCCCTTGAACCCTCTAACCCTCTGACCCTTGAACCCTCTAACCCTCTGACCTTCGAACCCTTGAACCCTCGAACCCTCACCACTTCTATGGCAGCTCTCTGTTCCACTGCCGGAGTGCAGAAAGCCCTGGTGTGAACCAGCCTCTTGCAGCCCCACGACTAACCCAAGTGCTCAAACACAGCACAACCCGCCTCCCTCCTTAAAATGTCAACTACTTTGTAGGCCACAACTTTTTACATATCAGGATTTATATATTCATTATTTGTATTTAATTTGGTGTAATACTTTGGCGGGGCGTAACCAGGAACGTGACAACATGGCAGGACATAACGAGGAAGGAAAAGGCCGCTCTAACTGAAAGCCAAGCGGGAAGTAGGGGGCGTGGCCCCCCCAGGTGCCTGCATGAGCGATGTAGTC